ATGCCTTATGGCTTGCTGATGGTGTAATGTATGTCTGTGTTCTCACATCACATCTCACTGGCTTGATTCTGCCCTAAAACTATAGTCAACTCTGCCTTTTCTTTTCACTGTCGATGTACATAAAATATATATATATACAAACACAACAAAAAAAGTAGCAGTATTTGAAATGTAACTGGGAGCCATTCCTTAAATGTCATGGATCCCAGAGAATCTCCTCTGAGAATCATCTGTATACCACTCGAGGACACGAGCCGCTGACAGAGACGTCTACCATGATGACAATGGAAAGTAGAGCTGCGTGGTTTTGCCTGAGCAGTTTAGTGCAAGACTGCAATCCCCGTGATGAGCAGGAGTATCCGCCTTCTGCAAGGCTTGTCCTCCCACTCAACTAGTTTTCCTACCTCCATCCCCAGACTCGGGAACCTCCTCCATGTGCCACCAAAGCAAGACAGGGCTACAATTGGGGCTGTCGCCTTGAAGAGTCAGTAATGGGCTGGGACATTTTATACAGCTGAGACCACTCATTGTGTTAGAAGAAATGGATTCAGATACAATCTAGGGAATAAGGAGAGAGCTTTAAGCAAAGGTTAATTGTTCTTTCCAGCCACATATTCTTTATATTCAGTAGCATAGCAAGAGAGAGAGAGAGAGAAAATGCAGACTAAATGTGGTTTTTGCTCGGTTGTCAAGTTTTGTTAAGTTGTCAGGTTTTTCCTGTGTCTTTTTCATTAGTTGGCTGTTTGGATCAGTATTTCCATATGCATACATGTAGGCCTTACCCTATAGGTTCTTTACCAATAATTATTTCTTGACATTAAGTGATTGTAATTTTGTTCCTTGAATCATTGTCAGTAACTCTCTACCTAATCATGGACATATTAGGGAGATTGAGTTGGACAAATGATCCGTGGAATTTTGCACCTCTTTAGGAGGGTGGAATCAAGCACTAACCCTGACCCCACCACCACCCCCTTTAGCTTTCCAGCTGAGCGGTACACATCAGGCATTTTTAGGGAACCTGCTCCACAATCATTTGCCTCCCATAGAATTTCTCTCAAACAACGACCATGTAATGAGTTCTTGAATACTTCAATGTCCTATAAAAGTATTCAATACAATTACAAAAAGCCCCCAGAATTCTACATACCAACCCTACATGAGTAACGGATTCTTTAAGTACTTCTCTAGCTTTCATTCCGCATCCCTGCCTCAGCACACAGAAGAAGAGAATTTGTTTTATCAGTGCCTATTTGTTTTTCTCATTGCTGTTTCTAGAGAATGCAAAGCTGCCCTTCAACTAAAGTACATACAAAGGATCTTCAAAATGTCTGTGGAATAATGGACTGAAAAGATAAGGGAATTTTTCCATGAAACACTTGAAGCCTTACAAATTAAATGAACCTAATGATTTGGGGAGAGTAACAGACCAAAAACACTGGATTATAGATTTTGTTGTTAAATTCTGTCAAGGCTGTTGTGACTCAGAGCAGCTGAGTTGGAATAGCCTTGGGCTTCCAAGGAGCAGCTGGTGGGTTTGAACTATTGACCTTGTGGTTCACAGTTCAGTACTTAACCTACAGCAGCAAACCATGACTCCACCAAATTATAGGTTGTTGTTATTAAGTGCCACCAAGTCACTTCCAAAACTCATAGCGACTCTGTATGGGGTTTCCGAGGAGCAGCTGGTGAACTTGAACCACCAACCATGCGGTTCAAACAGACTTTGGAGTCCAGCGCATTAACCCATAGCGCTACACCAGATTATAGATAGGGATCATTTAAATTGAATCTGTGTTTGTTAATGAAAATACTCTTTTAAATTTAATTTCAAGTAGTCATGCATAGGAGTCCGGTGTGGCGCTGTAGGATAAGCACGGTATCACTAACCACAAAGTAGGCTGTTCAAACCCACCAGCAGCTCCTCTGAAACCATGAGTCAGAACCAACTTGATGGGACTTAATAACAACAAAACTTTTTTGGTTGGTTGGTTATGAGCCCTGGAGTCAGTTCCAACTCATGGCTGTGGCTGTGTGCCGTGGAGTCAGTTCCGACTCATAGCGACCCTGTACAGGGTTTCCGAGGCTGTCCATCTTTACAGGAGCAGAACGCCTCATCTTTCTCCTGCGGAACAGCTGGTAGTTTCGAACTACTGACCTTAAGGTTCGTAGTCCAGTTTGCAACCACTACGCTACCAGAGCTCCTTAGCAACCCTATGTACAGTTTCCAAGTCTATAAACATTTATGGGACCAGAAATTCTCCCTGAACAGTTGGTAGTTTTGAACTGCTGATGTTGAGGTTAACAGCCCAACTCAACCACTACGCTACCAGAACTCCTGAATGGTTATTATTATACTTTGTAGCACAAGTCCTTTCTTGTCTTCCAATGGTTTATAACCCCTTGTCTCTGCAGCGCACTGCCCCTTGCCTCTGCTCTGTGATTTCGCTCTAGAATCAATACACCGGTTTAGGGCATTGATGGATAGTGGAAGGGATGGTCCCTGCATTTACTTCTTTCACTTGACAAACATTTATTGTGTCCCTATTCTGCTCCTGGCGTGACACTGTAGGATAAGCACTTGAACCGCTAACCTCAAGGTCAGAAGTTCAAATCCACCAGCTGCTCCTCAGAAACCCTATACAGGGTTGACTGAGTCTGAACCCACTGGATAGCACTTACCAGGAACAACAACAGCTGTGCTCCAAGCAAGAACTAGATGCAGTTGGCAATGCATCAGCGTTTGCCAAGCCCAGGATTCCTGTCCTTGTGGAACTCGCAAACTAGTGAGGAAGATAAACTCATCAAAGAATTACACAAATCATCACAGAAGGAGAAGCTGTAATTGTTTCTGTCGAGAAAAGACAAATGTTCTGAGAGCACACAGAGTAGGATCTGCTTAATACTAGAGAGCAGAGAGTTTCCCTGAGAAAATGCCATGTAACTCTGAGTCAGAATCAATTAGGCACAAAGGGTACAAAATCAATTAGCTTTCTATTGGTGCTTTAGTAAATTAAGCAAAACTTGGTGTTTTAAAACCACACACACACACACACACACACCACCCCCATTTTGTTACTGTTCTGGAGGTCCAAGATCAACTTCACTGTTTTGAAATCAAGGTGTCGCACAGCACACCCACACTCTCTTAGGAGACTCTAGAGCTGCAGTCTTTGGCTTTTGGCCCATTCCTCCATCTTCACAGTCAGCTGTGTAGCATCTTGCTTCTGTATCAACTTGCCCCCTGTCTTTGCAGTAGACCTCCCTCTGCCTCCCTTGTATAATCACCCTTGTGATTGTGTTTAGGGCCCACTCAGATAATCCCAGGTAATCTTCCCATCTCCAAATCCTTCAATTACTCACAGCTGTAAAGTCTCTTTATCACCTGTGGCAACATTAACAGGTTCCAGGGATTAGGGCCTAGAATATCTTCGTGGAAGGCTTTTCAGTTACCATAGGGCTTGAGAACATTCCGGGCAAAGGTAATCGTGTGTCTGAAGGCCTTGAAAGTGGAATTATTGTTGTTAAATGGTGTGTAGTCAACTCTGACACATGGTGACCCTGTATAGGGTTTCTAAAGAGCAGCTACTAGGTTTGAACTGCTGACTTTGTGCTTAATAATTCATTGCTGATCCTACAACGCCATACCAGGAGCCCTAGAGAAGAAATAGGGTATGGTGTGTTCCAGAAATGGGAGACTGCTGGAGAGATGGAAGTAGAAGCTGAAAGTGGGGAGTTATTTTGGAGAAATAGGATGAGGTGGGCTGGGTATTTCATATAAAGCATTTTGGCATTTACTTGAAGAAGGTTAAGAAGCTACTGAAGGGTTTTGAGCAAGGCAGAGACTCTTTCAGATCTGTGATTTTCACAGATGAATCTCAGTTTATGTGGGCCCCAAGAGTAAATACAGAGAGCTGAGTTAGAGGCTTTGCCGCAGAGGTGTCGAGTGGCCGTTTGGTGGTGCTGTTGGCATTAAGTGACATTGGGTTGGTTCTGACTCTTAGTGGCCCTGTACAGCGTTTCCAAGGAGCAGTTGGTTGAACCACTGACCTTGTGGTTAGCAGGCCAGTGCTTATCCTACAGTAGTACTACCTCGGGATTCCTAGACCGGTGTGTTGTTTGTTGCACAGTTAAGTCTGTTCCAACTCAGAAACCCTGTATAGGGTTTCCAAGGAGCAGCTGGTGGGCTTGAGCCACCCACCTTGAGGTTAACAATCTAGTGCTTATTCTACAGCACCACACCAAGACTGGTGCAAAGGAGTGGAAATGTACGAGTGGCTTTTTCTAAAGGTTTCCAGTTTGTCTTTATTTTTTTCCTGAGCTTGGGCTCTCAAGGAGGGATGATGGCAAGATATACCATTCTGGAACCAGATGGCTATCTATCTAGACGATTTCTTGGGATACTTTTGTCTAAGGAGCCATCATTCATCTTTGATTGGAGGTACCTGAATTATGTGTTCGTGGGCAGACTGAAGATTACCAAAGCCCTTTGAAAACACATTGTATTATTTCCAAAGAAAATAATACCATCATTCCCATAGGCTAAGTATAAGAATTGACCCTCTTCTAAAATCTAAAGTCACATTAGCCAGCAGTTTAACACCCTGTGAAGTCAGCCGGGAGGCATTCAATGAGCAAAGCCGAGTTAACTGGTTTGAGTGATCATCTTTCTTGTCACATTTCCTGGGTCACTGCAGAGGTGTTCGTGAAGGGGACAATGACACGGTCTCCAGTCATGACTCCAACGTGTTAGTTGATTATAACGTGTCAGGCAGATTTGTGTTAATGCTAACTCACAAGCACCACCTTTGTATCTGTTTATACAATATCTGCATATTTAATGCTCACAACTGCAAGTTCGGGATAGAAATTGGGAAAGGCCTTACAAAGCATCTTTGGAAGAAGTGGGACTTCCCATTAGTTCATTGTTGGAAACTCAGGTGCCCAGAACTGACAAAGGTCCTGTGTTGGAAAGGTTAATGTTCTTTATCTGCGATCAGACATGTGACCGCCTCAAACAGTCAGCCAGTGGGACGAAGCGCCGCGTGTTCATCATTGAAACCATGGGTGGCTACTGTGGTTACCTGGCCAACATGGGGGGCCTTGCAGCCGGAGCCGATGCAGCTTACATTTTTGAAGAGCCATTTGATATCAGAGATCTACAGGTATGTAATGTGAATCCAACCTCTAGAATTCATCAAGTGCTTCTCTATCATGTTACACTTTGTCGGTTTGTTTTTTGAGGGGATGGAGATATTACAAAATATACTGACTGTGTGTTGCAAATTATCCATCCTTTAGGATAATGGAAAATTTGCAAATTTAAATCTCAGTTAAATGTATTGATGTATTTACTTTAGTATTAGAAACTCCAGATGAGTGAGGATTGCGTGAATATACATGTCTCAGAGCACCTTTTGTTCGTTCCGCTCAAGAATCAGCTGGTTTGTGTATCAAGTAATTGATGTTTTTCTTACATAAGTAATAAGCATTTCAAGAGATCTGCTTCTTTAATGACATCTTTAAATAGTTGGTGTAGACTTACCTCACCTTATTTCACTTTGTTTTATTGAGCTTCGCAGACATCGTGGTTTTTTTTTTGTTTTGTTTTGTTTCAATAAATTGTAGACTAGTCTTATCAATGCAATTTTTCCAGCAGTTTCTTACTTTGTGTGTTTGTCTGTGTCACCATTTGGCAAGTCTCACAATATTTCACGTGGCTGCATAATGCTCTCACACAAGTCACAGACTCAATAGAGTGTAAACGTAAGTTTTAAATGCACTGGGAAACCAAAACATTCATGTAACTTGCTTTGTTGTGATACTACATTGCGGTAGTCCTGGAACTAGGCCTGCCATATCTCCGAGGTATGTCTGGACTCTTACTTAAGTAGTTGATGTGATAACTGCAGAGTTTCTCTTAGGCTTTTTGAAATATTCACAACAGTCTCAGAGTTCTGGTGTCTTTTTGGATCTGAGGTTGGAAATATTTGCAATAGGTGGGAAACATCCACTGCTGGAACATTTAGTAGCCTGCCAAAGGGAAGCAAGTATTTCTATTGTAAAATGCTAAAGTTAATTAGGGGATGAATCTGAGACACCAACAGAAATAGCTAGAGCTGCCGGGGACCGAAAAATGTTCTTAAGTCTCTGCCTGTCTTGTAGAGGAAGGTGTAAGAATTTGTCAGCTAAAAATAAAACAGAGGCCAAATTTAGGTCTTGCCAAGCCCTGCTGTATGCCTTTTAAAAATCTTCTGGTTGCTGATGCCTTTGAGGGATCTGTGTTCTTGTAAATGGGCAGTAGTACTACAAAGGAAGACTAAGACTTCTTGGAATCCTCTAGCATTGTTAGATGAAGGGCTAATTCAGCTGTGCCCAGCTTTTGGTTGGCCCGGATCATGGGCCCAGAACCTCTGTCAAATTGTCGGGTAGGAGGAAGGATAAACAAAGCACCCAAGACTCTCTCCAAAGCAAATCAGGAAGAGAGCATGTCTGGGAGAGCTGCTCCCGCTGTTGTTGAGTGCTATGGAGTCGATTCTGACTCAAGGTGACTCTGTCTACAACAGAACGAAACACGACTCCTTTCTGGAACATTCTCACAGTTCTTTGTGAGCTCACTGTAGCAGCCACATTGTCAATCCATCCACAAAGATATTCCTCTTTTTCGCTGACCCTCTATTTTATCAAGCATGATGACCTTTGCCAGGGACTGGTCCCTGCTGATACATTCCCAAGTATGTGAGAGGAAATCTTGCTTTTAAGGAGCATGCTCACTATACTTTTAACACAGATTTGTTTATTGTTCTATACTAAGTAATAACATTCAATACTCTTTGCCAACATCAGAATTCATATGCTTCAATTCTTTTTCAGTTTTCCTTATTCATTGGCCAGCTTTCACATGTATATTATTGTTGTTGTGAAATGCCATTGTTGAGTTGGTTTCGACCCATAGCTATCCTGTATAGGATTTCCAAGGAACGGCTGGTGAGCTTGAACCGCCAACCCTCAAACCTACTTAGCAGTCCAGCGCATTAACCACCAGGACTCATGCATATTGGTGGTGGTTATGTGCCATGGAGTTGATTCCAACTCATAGCTACCTTGTACAGGGTTTCCGAGGCAGTAAATCTTTACGGGAACAGAAAGCCTCATCTTTCTCCTGCAGAAGAGCTGGTAGTTTTGAACTGCTGACCTTGAGGTTTGCAATCTGATTCGTAACCACTACGCTACCAGAGTTCCTTTCATGCCTATTGTTGCTGTTGTTAGGTGCCACTGACACAGTCCGTACTGACCCATAGCGACCTTATGCACAGCAGACCGAAACACTGCCCGACCCTGAGCCAACCTCACCACCGTTGCCACGCTTGAGTCCATTGATGCTGCCACCTGGCCAATCCATCTCATTGGGGGTCTTACTCTTTTTCTCTGACCCTCCACCTTACCAAACATGATATCCTTCTCCAGCGACTGGTCCCTCCTGACAATATGTCCGAAATATGAGAGACGAAGTTTGGCCATCTTGGCCATCATGCATATTAGGCTATTGGAAATTACTGTGGTTTTGGCCAGGTGCACCTTAGCCCTCAAAGTGAAAAATTTGCTCTTTAAAGAGGTCTTTTGCAGCAGCCTTGCCCAAATGCGATATGCCACATGATATCTTGAATGCTGCTTCCAGGGGCATTGATTGTGGATCCAATTAAAATGAAATCCTTGACACCTCAGTCTTTTCTCTGTTTACAATGTTATCATTTATGGGTCCAGTGGTGAGGACTTTTGTTTTCTTTACACTGAGGTGTGATGCATACTGAAGGCTTTATTCTTTTATCAAGGGCCTCAAGTCCTCTTTGCTTTCAGCTAGCAAGATGGTGTCATCTGCATGCTGCTGATTGTTAATAAACTTGCAGGTTGTTAATGAGGCTTCCTGCTATCCTGATGCTGCATTCTTTTCCATATAGTTGATCTTCTAAGATTATTTGCTCAGTGTACAGTTTGAGTAAGTAAGGTGAAAGGATACAACCCTGACATGCGTCTTTTCTAATTTGACACCTTCCTGCCTCCCCTTTTCTCTTCGAATGATTGCCTCTTTGTCAACAGACAGGTTCCACATGAGCACAATTAAATGTTCTGGAATTCCCACTCTTCTCAATGTTAGCCATAGTTTGTTATGAGCTACACAGTACAATGCCTTTGTATAGTCAATAAAGCACAAGTCCTAGTGTGGCACTGCAGGTTAATGCACTGCACCTGACTGAGAGTGTCATCATTTGATTCAGGTTTGCATTGTATAATGTTGATAAATTAGTACACCTTGTCCAAGAGGACAGGAGTTAGCAAATATAACTTGAACTGTTTTCTTTTGAAAAGTTAGCATTCTATGTTATGTGAACCAAATAAATCAAGTAAAAATATACTTAGAGCTTTAACTTACTGTCAAGGAAGCTTCAACTATAAATTTCTTCACAATGTTGAATTAAATGTTTTTAATTAAAAGATAATGTCTTACCTGCACTTACCATAGATTTTGGCACATAGATAGATGCTTAATGAATGTAATTCATACTGAGATTTGATTATATGTATGTACCTCCATTTTTTAAAAGATAAGTTATCAGAAAATTATCTCATTTTATTGTAACTCTCTCAAAAAACTGAAATAGGATAATTTGAGCATATATTTTGTTAATTTTTCTGGGTCAGGAAATGTGCTTTAGGCAGTTACATGAAATTCAATCTAAAGCAGGTTGTTGTTAAGTGCCCTCGAGTTGGTACCGACTCATAGAGACTCTGTGTAGGGTTTCTGAGGAGCAGCTGGTGAATTTGAACCACCGGCCTTGCAGTTCAAAGCAACTTTGCAGTCTAGCACATTAACCCACACCACCACTCCAGGATTCCAAAGCAGGTTGTTGTTGTTGTTGTTAAGTGCCGTCGAGTCGGTTCCGACCCATAGCGACCCTGTACAGGGTTTCCGAGGGTGTAAATCTTTACGGGAGTAGAAAGCCTCATCTTTCTCCCGCGGAGCAGCTGGTAGTTTCAAACCACTGACCTTAAGGTTCGCAGCCCGATTCGTAACCACTACGCTACCAGAGCTCCTTCCAAAGCAGGTTAGCAGGTAGTTATTTTCCTGTGAGAGCTCAGAGATAGAAAATACCAAGGAGCATGAAATAAATATGTAAGCATTAGGCAGTTGCACACAATAAATACATTAATGTTGTCAGAGGAAAATCTATTTATCTTAGAAAGTATTTCTCATAGGTTTTTATGACCAAAGCAATATACATTCTAATGTAGCTTCCCTGCACCTGTTGTATGTATTGCATCATTTAAAAAAAAAAAAATTTATTGTTAACTGTTATGCCACTGTAGAGTAAGCACTGGACTGCTAACTACAAAGTCAGGGGTTCAAATCCACCAGCCACTACTTGTAAACCCTATACAGGTTTGCAATGAATTGGAATCAACTTAACAGCACTTAATAGCAAATGTTGCCTGCATATTTATCACTACCTGATATATTCTTGTCTATTGACTGCTTCCACATACAGTATCTGTTACACATTTGTTGTTGTTGTTGGTAAGTGCCATGGAATCCGTTCTGACTCACAGTAATTCCATATAGGGTTTCTAAGGAGTAGCTGGTGGGTTTGAACTGCTGAACTTGCAGTTAGCAGTGCAGTGCTTCCCCTTACAGTGCCACACCAGAACCCCCTTGGCACACAGTAGGCACTTAATAAAAGAGTTATCTGATTGCTTAACAACACCTTGTTTTCTAGTCCAATGTAGAGCATCTGACAGAGAAAATGAAGACCACCATTCAGAGGGGTCTTGTGCTCAGGTAACAGGAAAATATTTCTACTTTTACTTTAATTTTAGACCTAGATGACTAGAATCGATTTTAGAGTATGAAATCTAATAAACAATTATTCTTTTGCCACTGCTTCTTATAATGAAATGCTGGGCAGCTGGAGTGTGTGTGGGGGGGGCGTGAGGGGCAAGCAGAGTAATTGTGTAGTAAATTAAAAGCTTGCATGTATTTGAATCATTAAGGGAAAATTTTAAAAATTATTATTTTGGCACTCAAGTCTGTGAATTTTTTAAGACAAGCTTTATAAAAGTCTCTAACTTTTATAAAGAAAGAAGCAGCAGTAGTCACATAGAGCCACAGAGAGGAACATACAGTAAGCCCATGTAACTCTGTGTCAGGAATCTAGTGGCCTCTCCCCAAGATCTGAGGGTGACCTGCTCTCCAGGCATCAGCAGAGCCACTTAGGCAGGAAACTTCATCAAAAACCCCTATAAATCAGTTTGCTGATATAATGCTTAACCTCCCCTTCATTTTAGAAATGAGAACTGCAGTGAAAATTATACCACCGACTTCATTTGCCAGCTTTATTCAGAAGAAGGAAAAGGAGTGTTTGATTGCAGGAAGAATGTGCTGGGTCACATGCAGCAGGTAGAGTGACTGCGGGTCCTGTTGTTGTTAACTGTTACCATGCCAGCACCAACACATGGCAATAGGCTACACCAGAGGATCAGACCATTGTGGTCTGTAGGTTTTTCACTGGCTGATCTGTGGAAGTAGATGACTATGTCTACATAGTTTTAGTGTGGAGGCTCTGCTGACAGCATCATAACAACATGCAAGCCTCCCTGACAGACAGGTGGTGGCTGCACATGTGGTGCATGAAATGAGAATCAAACGTGAGTCTTCCACATTGAAGCTGAAAATGCTTCCAGTGAACCACCACCACCACCTGCTAATCTGCCATTGGGTCTCATGTGACCCACCTGTGGTGCTACAAAACAGAAAATGAAGCCGTTTCCCAGCCCCACCAGTTTTTATTGTAAATTGAGTGATAGTTTACAAGGGAGAACATCAGCTTTACATTCATCCTATCATATTTCATTTCATTACAATGATTACAATCCCCTCCTTGCATCATCATTCAGCAGCATTTGCTTCCATTCCCTCTGGGTTTTTTTTTGGATGTACACCAAAGTACTTAGGAATATGTAAGCAGTCTAACAACCAAAGGCGTACCCTGCAAGCCTACTCGCTGGCCGCCAGCACACAGCCCCTCTCCCTCCTGGAGTCTAGAGTCCCCAGCTGCTCCATCTCTCCACATCATCATCTCTGCCTCCATCTCTGGTGTCACTGCTTCTCTGGATAGGGTCCACACTCTGCTCTTCTCCCATGATGGTCTCAGGGTCCTCCGTTCCTGGACTACAAGATCAATGACTCCCCTCCTTTTGTTACAAAACATCTACCTTTACATTTGCAACCCTCACAATCAGTCCTGATAGCAATTATTCACTATTGAACCACTAGAGTCTTATCCCCATCCCCTTTCACCAGCCCTGTCTTCTTGTTGTTGTTAAGTGTTGTTTATTTGGTTCTGACTCATAGCGACCCTGTATTGAGTTTCCAAGGAGTGGCTGGTGGGATTGAACTGCCGACCTTGTGGTTAGCTGTCCAGTGCTGATCCTCCAGCACCACCCCCAGGCTCCCTGATAAAAAGATTCTAAAATCCTGAAGATTTCAGTTGACTTAGTAGGTTGAGTAAAGAAGTTTGCATCTCAATAGGGAGAAAATCACCCAAACCGGCTGAGGCCAGGTCACAGGTACCATTGAGTTTTATTTTCTTTGGGTTTATTTGTTTATTTTGGTGCCAACTATATGCAAAGAGAGAGAAATGTGTTTAAAAAAATGTTTGCAAATTTGAGTTATTTAAAGATATGAAATACAAATCATTAGAAAATTTTTAACTATATGGCTGTTGTTGTTAAATGCCATCGAATTGGTTCCAACTCATAGAGATCCTGTATAGAGTTTCTGAGGAACAACTGGTGGGTTTGAACCCATGGCCTTTAAGTTCAAATTGACATTGCAGTCTGGTGCTTATGCTGTAGCTCTACACTAGGACTCCAAAACTATCTGATAGCATTTTTTTTTTAAAGTTAAAGTACTGTTATGCATTGTCTAATGAATTTTGTATAAATTTTCTCCAACAGGGTGGAGCACCTTCTCCTTTTGATAGAAACTTTGGAACAAAACTTTCTGCCAAAGCTATGCAGTGGATTACTACAAAACTGAAGGAATCTCAGGGAACAGGTAAAGTAATAGGGGTGTGTGAACTCAGTGGTTGATACTGAAGCTGGAATTTTTAGAATTATCTTTATTTTATGAAATAGAATATTTGTTCCTCTTTTTTATAGCATTGAAATTCATAGGAGACAATTATGGTAATCTTGCTAGTTACAAAAATGAATTAATTATTAATTGAAATAGAATTAAGAATAATTAAAACAGAATTAATAAGTCCCCCAAACACACCCACCCCCACCAAAAAACAAACCCACTCACTGAAACAAACCCTATTGCTGTTGAGTAGATTCCAAGTCATGGCCCATGCCATGTGTCAGAGGACTTAGCTGTACTCTTGATGCAAGCAGATGACCAGCCTTTTCTCTTTTGTGCCATTTGATGGGTTCAAACTGCCGACCTTTAGTCTTATTGTTGTTCAGTGCTGTTGAGTCAGTTCCAACTCATAGTGAACCCTGTATAGGGTTTCTGAGTTTGTAGGCCTTGTGGGAACAGAAATTCTCATCGTTCTTCAGGAGTGGCTGGAGAGCTTGAACCTCTGACCTTGTGGTTTAAAGTCTAGTGCTTTTGCCACTGAGGCAAAGTGCTCCCTTAGGTTAGTGAACCCCCTAAAAAAACAAACTCACAGCTGTGAAGAATTCCAACTCATAGTAAACTTACAGGACAAAGTAGACCTGCCCCATAGGGTTTCCAAGGCTATAAATCTTTAGGAAAGTTGTTGTTGTTAGGTGCCATTGAGTCAGTACCTATCAAGTTATTGGTGGGTTTGAACAGTCAACCTTACAGTTAGTAGTGGAATGCTTTAACCAAGGCACTCTTTATAATACTAGATAAGCAGACATTTCTTGTCCCACCTGGCAACCTTCATTAGTAACATAAAATGCTTTCACATGATTTAGTAATAGTGGCACTGTGGGTTAATGAGTTGGGCTGCAAAGTTAATTTGAACCACAAGGTTGGCTGTTAAAGTTCACCAACCGCCTGATCCTCAGAAACCCTATATAGGGTTGCTGTGGGTTGGAACCGGCTCGATGACATTTTAACAACCTTCTTTTAATAGTAAGACAGTAAGATGTGTTTTTGTTTTCCCTTTTGGCTACATGGCACCATTTTCTTTGAACTCATATGAAGACACTTAGGCTTTTCTATTGATTCACTCAATATTAATTTTTATAGCAAAACACCACCATTATATATTTGGGAGGAATTTGGTCTGTTTTTCTCCCGCAAAATCTGTGTGTCCTTCTTCATTCATATTTTAATGCGTCCAGACTAGAAGTTTCCATTCACTTGAATATTATTAAAATCATTCCTTGGTTTTCCTTTGGAGTTTTACTATCCATGATTAAAATTTCAGATTCTGTTACTTGCTTGGGTTTGTTTCTGTTCCTTATTTGAATGGAAGCCTGGGGTGTTTATTTTCCCTGTGACTGATGTTTTGTGTTGGCTATGTTTTTGAGCTGCATCCATGATGGTGCATATAGTTGTGGGTTAGCATATAATATTCCTTTACTTCGGTATGCCACCCTTAGCCGTTCCTACTGATACTGACCCCTGAGTGCTTCCCATTTTTGTGTTAACAGTGCTGCTGTGCACATGTACCCAGAGCCACATGCATCCACATGCTATTTGTCCTTGTGACCCATGCCCATCAGGGGAACCCCTGGATTGTAGCATCTGCACAGGCTTATCATTCTAAACTGGCTTTAGCAATTACATGCAGATCTGTAGAGTTTGAGACTTCTGGTTACTCAACATTCAGCTAGCACTTGATACAGGCTGACTTTAATTATTGCCTTGTGTGTGTGTGTGTCTGTGTGTGTGTAATCCAAAATAGTCTCATAGAGGCCCTAAGCAGGCTGAAATCATAGATGAAGGAAATGAAACATTTAACATGCTGATTTAATGTTCTTGTTTCCTCTGTGAAACTGTTTTTGTTTTGTTTTTTCAAGTGTTTTGTTGCTTTTTACATTAGTTTGTTCTCTTGTTAGTGTTACAATAATTTAATTTTTTATTACTGTGAAGGCATTTTATATTGAAACATATTACTCTGAATACATTGTTCATCACATGTTACAAATGTTTTGCTCCCATTTTGTGGCGTATATTCATTTTCTGTAAGATACCTTTTTTGTGAAGTGGTCTTAATTTTAATGTAGTCAAATTTACCAACCTTTTTCTTATGGTCTGAGTTGCTTCTGACTCACAGCAATGCTGTCAAAGTTAGAAATCGTTGTGGGAGCAGAAACCCTCTTCTTTCTCCTGAAGGGACTTTGGTGGACTCAGACTGCTGACTTTGCACTTAGCACTTTAACACTTTTAACACTATACCATCAGGGCTCCTTGAATAATCAAATTACTGGAGTGCTATGTATTTAGAACACCACATGTCTGTCAGTTTGTCGTACTGTGGTGGCTTGTGAGTTGCTGTGATTCTGGAAGCTATGCCACCGGTATTTTAAATACCAGCAGGGTCACCCATGGTGGACAGGTTTCAGATGAGCTTCCAGATGAAGACAGACTAGGAAGAAGGAATGACGAACT